ATGGGGCCGCGAAGCGCTGCACTGGGTGTGCCGGACGCATGCGGGCGGTCCCACTGGGACCATCGGTGGAGCTCCCTAAGGGGTCACGAAGCGTCTGAGGGGTGTGCCGGAGGAGGAGGGAGGCCGACATGGGTGGCGATGACGATGATGATGATGATGATGATGATGATGATGATGAGGAGGAGGAGGAGGAGGAGGAGGAGGAGGAGGAGGAGGAGGATGAGGATGCTGCTGCTGCTGCTGATGACGATGACGATGACGATGACGATGACGATGACGATGATGATGATGATGATGATGATGATGATGATGATGATGATGATGATGATGATGATGATGATGATGATGATGATGGGAAGAGGGAGGAGGGGGCGGAAGAGGAGAGGAGGAACGCTGGGCGGTGTCTCTTCAAAGCGAGGACCCAACACCACAGGATGGTTAGGGACAAATTGTTTAAAACGAGGACCCAACACCATAGGATGGTTGGGAATGATTTCGCGGATTGAGGGCGAATCGCTTTCAAAAAAAATGTGGCTCCCACCTTAGCACCACGCACACTCGTTGTAACCATTTGCAAGAGCGTCACTGATTGAGGGCGGTTCGTTCTCAAAATGTGACTCCTGCCACCGCGCTGCGCACACTCGTCCGTTTGCAAGAGCTTCACGGATTGAGGGCGGGTGGTGTTGGAAATGTGGCTCCCGCGTTAGCACCGCGCTCACTCGTCTTAACAATGTGCCAGAGTTTCACTGATTGAGGGCGGTTCCTTTGCAAAAATGTGGCTCTCGCCTTAGCATCGCGAACGTTCGTTTGAAGAAATTACCAAAAGATTTCACGCATTCGCATGGCTCACGTACCAGAGATGGCCTTCTGGAGCGGCTTTGGAGTGTCAGTACGCAAAAGTTGCGTTGATCTGCGGCGTTGGAACCCCAAGAATGGCATTCTGACACAAGATCGTCACGCCGCCTCAATCAGGTCGATTCGTGGCGTTGGAGTCCCGGGAATGGTGTGTGGCACCCGTCAAGATCTTCAAGCGGTTGTCTCCCAACGGGGCACTCCCCACTGTAGAAATGAACCCTTGTTGGGGCCTATGAAGAGGGAGCTTGGGGGGAGGATCTATCCCCACATCGTTGATGAGTCTTGGGGTTACATTGGTTCTCCTCCTCCTGTTTTACGTTGGGCAAACTTAGGCAGCGGAGCTGTAATGTTCTCCACCTCCGCCTCCCCAACCTCCGCCTCCACTTCTCCCCCTATGGGTGACGATAGAAGGGGAAGGCAGTTCAGGGGGGAAACATCGAGCTGGAATCGGCGATAGATCGCCGATGGACAATATGCACGATCCTGGGCGGAGTGGGCTAGGTTGCCCATGTCGGCGATGAATGGACGATTGGGGGTCGATGATTTCCCCCTGAGCCTATCCCCCCCAACGTTGCCCCTGATCCATATCCACCTGCTCCTCCTCCTCCTTCTCTTCCTCCTCCTCCTCCTCCACCTCCGCCTCGGGCCTCCGCCTCCATTCGCTTTCATGATAGATCGCTCATCCCTGTCGCACCCCCCAGACGTATCGGTGAGGCGGCTGGTTTAGCGCCGCGCACTCGTCTCAAACAATAGACACAACAGTGGAACATAAATCCGCCGACCCTGTCGGCGTGTGTGAGGGGCTTCTCCGTTCGACTCGTCGTCTCCGTCGTCTCCGTTCTCCCCCTCCCAGGGCTCTCCTCCTCAAGCGCGCTATCCAAAGCGAAATTAAACGACGTCGCAGTGGAGTCGAAGGGAAGCCCCTTCCCTTTGATCCCTTCCCCGCAGGGGGGGGGGAGGGCGGGGGGGGAGGGGGGGGGGGCCCGGGGCAGATACGACGCCCGCCGGGGCGCACTTTCTCGAGCGGGCACGCACGGGATGCACTTCCTCCTCCTCCTGGTCCTCCTCCTCCTCCTTTTCTCCTCCTCCTCCTCCTCCTCCTCCTGCTCCTCCTCCTCCTTCTCCTTCTCCTCCTCCTCCCCTCCTCCTCTCCCGCAGAGGCGTCCCGGGAGCGGGCCCCGAGTCAAAATACACCCCCCTAGGGCGCATTTTCCTCGAGGGCACGCCCGAGATGCACTTCTTCCTCTTCCGGGAGCACGTCCCAAGTCAGAATATCACACTCCCGGGGCGCACTTTCTTCGAGCGGGCACACAAAGGATGCACTCCTCCTCCTCCTCTCCTCCTCCTCCTCTTCCTGCTCCTCCTCCCTCCTCCTCCTCCTCCTCCTCCTCCTCCTCCTCCTCCTCATCCTCCGCTTCCTCCCCCCACTCCTAGCCCTTTCGATCAGGGTCGGCGGCACCGGCCGTCAGGCCTCTCCAATAATTTAATCATGGGGCTCTCGCCGTAGCGCCGCGCATGTTCGCTTTTGAATGTGTGCAGCCATTGCAAGGATGGAAGGCGGTTCCTTGTTCAGTGGAGCTATCGCTTGAAACTTCCGGAACATCTGAAGAGCATGATATTCCACATCTGTAGCAGCTGAACGGGCGTAGAATTTTTCCTTTTCAGAATGAAGCTCTCGCTCGAGAATTCCACAGGGTGCATGACCAGAAGTGCCAATCTGCGAAACCGTTGCACGAATTGGGAGGCGGTCTGTCTATAAACGAAGATATCGCTGGACACATCCTTAAGGCTGCATGGTGATACCTCGTCGCTTTCCTGACTACGCGCTAGAAGGATGCGTGAGTTCCTATCCCAGAAGGGGCTCTTGACTGAATAGCAAACCCATGGGACGCAAATGTGAATTGCAGCATCGCTGAAGCATCTTGGAAGCTGTATTAGCTCTTGCATCTGGGCGGCAACACTAACATCCGCCTTACGCGGAATGACAAACAAAAAACATACCTAAGGCACGCACCGGTTCGCTTTAGCAGGCGTCTTTTCTTTTCCATCGTCCTCCTCCTGCTCCTCTCGTCGTCCTCCTCCTCCATCCCTTCTCCTTATACATAAATCCTCCCTGCCGCACCTTCAGACGTATCAGTAGGGCGGGCTGGGCGTTTCGACCGAACATTCCTCACCTTTTATGAATCTCAAGCTCGAGGCCATGGCACCGCGCATTCGTCCCAAAAGTTCGCGACAGTTTCAGGAATTGAGGGCAGCTCGTCTTCAAAATGTGGTTCTTGCTCTAGCGCCGCGCGAATTCGCGGTGAAAGTTTGCAACACTTCCAGGGATCCGAATGGTTGAAATACCAGGAATTCTGCTCTGGCGCAATTTAGGATTGTCAGGGCGCGACATTGATGTTGATTCCAGGCGCTAGAGTCCCCGGTATTTTGTTATGGCACGATTTAGGATTGCCAGAACGCGGCGGTCACGTTGATTCGCTGCAATTAAAGTCCCAAGAATGGTGTTTTGGCGCGGTCGACGGCTCTCTGATGTTTGCCTTACAATGGGGCACTTTCCGCAATCAGCAGAAATCCTTTCATGGACCTGTGAAAAGGCAGCTTGGAGAGACGGTTGTTGCAGCATCGTTGGCGCGTCTTGGGTTTACACTGGACCTCCTGCTTTTGTTCGTGTTGCTCCTCCTGCTTGTCCTGACATTCCTCATCGTTCTCCTCCTTCTCCTCCCTCCTCCCTACTCCTCCTCCTCCTCCTCCTCCTCCTCCTCCTCCTCCTCGCTCCGCAGGGTAAGGTTTCGCCTCCAAGCCGAGGAGGATGAGGCCCCGCTTGTCGCTGGAGCTGCTCGCGTTTGGTCTGCGGGGTCTGACGACTCCGACTGACCTCGGTCCCTGGGGTGCCCGTCGTGCGCGTCGGCCACCGCTTTGGTCCGCTGCCGCCAGCTTTTGTCTCAGCCCAAGCTGTTTCAATATGTCGGCCCTCACCTCTCTCTGCGGTTGATGTTGACAAAAAAATCTCCTCCTCCTCCTCCTCCTCCTCCTCCTCCTCCTCCTCCTCCTCCTCCTCCTCCCCCTCGCAATTTCCCACCCACGCTCAACGCGTACCCCCGCGCGCGGGGAACGCGCAAGCAGGTACGGGGGGGGGAGGAACATGTAGAAATGAAGGAGCAGGAGAGGCGGAGCGGAGGAACAACAGCTCGAGGAAGAAACAGGAGGGCGGAACTGAGGAAGGAGAGAGCACAAGGAGGAGGAGGAGGAGGAAGAGGAGGAGGGACAGCTCGAGGAAGGGGGGAGGAGGCCAGGACAGCTCGAGGAGAGGAGAGGGGGGGCGGCGGAGCGAATGGAACCGAGCGGTTGCGAACTACCGCAATGCGTCCTCTCCGCTGCGCAACACGGAATGGCATACATTTGACGTGCTGTCGGGGGCACCTTCCAACGACCCCTCACCAGCCTCCCTTCAGCAGGTTCACCTGTGAAGGGCGGCAGGTGCGGAGAAGGAAGAAGAGAGGAAGAATAATGACGGGATGACAAAGAAAAGAGGGAAGAAGAAGGGAAGAGGAGAAGGTGTTCGCAACGCGCAGGTACAAGCCAAACTACCACGGCGTTAGGCACGTCGCGTGGCAAAACAACATAACACATACATATATGTCGATATATGTTGTTGTTGTTTTTTTGTTTTCTCTCTCTCTCTCTCTCTTTCGCTCTCTCTCTGTCTGTCTCTCTCTCTCTCTCTCTCCATGTGCTCTGCAAGCACCGTTCTCGCGCGGGGGGGAAGGGGGAGGGAGGAGGAGCAAAAGGGAAAAAAGGGCTGAGGAGGAGGAGGCCAAGAGCGAAGAGGAGGAGGAAGAGCGGGAGGAGGAAGTATCCTCCTCACTCTCCTCCACCTTCATAATTCATGTGTCGTGTTCCCTTCCTCCTCCTCCTCCTCCTCCTCCTCCTCCTCCTCCTCGTCCTCCTCCTCTTTTGCCGCGTCATCTTATTATCATTCCTCCTCCTCGTCTTCCTCCTCGTCTTCTTCTTCCTCCTCCTCTTCCTCCTCCTCCTCCTCCTCCTCTTCCACCTTTTTCTTTCTCCTGCCTATTGTTTCCTCCATCCCCCCCCTCTTCGCGTGCCGCCGCACGGACGGACTGCCGGCGGGCCCAGCCCCGAGTGGC